CCCCCCCCCCCCCTGGCTACAGCCCTGGAAATAAATTCTCTGATAATTTGGAAGAAAAATATCCACAAGTTTTTCCGGAAATTCGTGTTTTATCAAACAAAATTTGGCAACCGCTCAAGGTTTATACGGCGTTTTCCCATACCTCGGCAGTATTGCGAGTTTTATTTTATTCGAATATTATTTTGTATTTATATTGCCTCTGACAGTATCCTCTCTATTCTGATAAAATCATTTTTAAGACGCTCGATAGACGGGGTGAGGAGGGGGAGTGAGAAGAGTAAGAAACGGCCTTTAAGGCCCGCTTTGGGCCAGTGTTACCATTTCCCGGAACTAGTTCCGAATTCCGGAACTTTTGAGATTTCCCTAAATTGTTTTCGGAACTTTTAAAATTCTCGAAATTTTCCAAATCTTCTGAATTTTTCGGAACTTTTACGGATTTTTTTAAAAAAATCTGAAAGGAATTCCGGAACTTTTGAGGGTTATGGAGTGGAAGGAATGGAGATGTTACATGTGTGAAGAATTTGCGATTTGACTGTTGATTCTTATGTAAAAGTTTGCGAAAAATACGATGGTGCCACTGGTTTTCTCTGAAATCAACTCCCAAGCTCGAAAAAAGCTCTCAAGTTGAGGCCAAAATGAAGGGGACATCCTACGCTATCCTGAGAGTCTACTTCCACGTCAAGACAAACTCTCCATGCGAAGATAGGGAGCAAATACATTAGCAGTGGTGCTGTGTTTTCAGTTTTAGAGTCCCCAAATTAAGTGGCAGCCCTGTCAAGTTATTTGCTCCCTATCTTTGCATGGAGAGTTTGTCTTGATGTAGAGGTGGACTCTCAGGATAGCGTGCGGGAAATTCCCTCCATTTTGGCCTAAACTTGAGAGCTTTTTTTTTGAGCTTGGGAGTTGATTTCAGAGAAAACCAGTGGCACCATCGTGTTTCTCGCGAACTTTTACATAAGAATCAACAGTCAAATCGCAAATTACTCACACACGCAACATCTCCATTGGGTCAAAACTGCTCCGAATCCCGGAACTTTTGATGGACATGGAATGGGAGCGCTGCTGTGGGCGCGCGCAGCTCCGGGGGGGGGGGGGGTTGGGCCGCGAAGCGGCCAGCGGGTGGACCCCCTTATTTTTAATTTAAGCATCCTCTTGCACATTGTTTTTTTATTAAAGCATGGCCTGAGTTCTCATATCGTTGGGGAGGAAATCGACTAATAGCTAAGTATTTGTTTTCATTAGAGAGCCAATATTGAAAATGACCGAGATTCGTCCAGGCAGGCCATTACAAAGACTTATCGGTAACGAATGAAGAGGCCATCGAGAATACCGTTGCCTCGGACAGGCGTAACGTCTGAAACCTATCAGAGCTGAACATAAGCTTACCAATCACGTGCCAAGTTTACATTATTCCTGTCGCCGCTAAACAGCGCTTCTTTGCGTAGCGGAGAGGGTTGACAAGGAAGAAAAACACAAATTAAACAGCGGCGTGGCGTACTTTGCGATGTATCGGTTGATCCGCCATTTCAACCCATGCGAAAGGATCGATGAACAGGGTGTCCGCAATGAGCACCTTAATAATCGAGTCTTCACTGCAGCTTCAAATAAGATAAAGCTAAAAAGATATCGAAAATCGATCATTCGCGCATCGCCACTGAAATTAAACGACGTGGAAAAGTAGTAAGACGAGAAGGAACTTGCCAAGAAATAGTCAAGTATAAATACATCCTCGCTGTTCGCCCGTAGATATCAGATTAGATTATTAAGAAGTTATTAAACTTCCCCTCCTCCTCCTGCCTGCTCGCCAAGAAGAGGCGGAACGACACGCCCTCTCTTCTCTCTCCCTTCGACACCATCCCGTCCAAATTTACCAAGCATCGTTGTCATGTATCTATCTTGAAGTATTGTGGCCAAGTTTCATACGTAAAGACGGAGCAAGCTTTTTCCAAGTTCACGTACTGAGATGGTTACTTCAGCCCTACTTTAGGGGCTTGGACAGAGACAAGAGACCCCCCCCCCCCCCTCGCGTATCTCGGCTATGGTGGAAGCTTTTACTTTTGGGACTTCAACATTAAACTGTTGCCTTACCTGCATGGTTGATGTTTAACAACGCGTTGGCAGTTTCGTTTTGAAAAAAATCCGAAATTTGGGAAACTTGTTTGGCTCATGACGTCACAAGAAGCTCATCATTCACCATGTAGGTAGGTCAACAGCCGAAAAAAGAGTGATGACTGTTGCTCCCTTATGATTGTCCATTAGGAAGTGTTAAATCGCCGAAAGTAAAAGCTTTCACCTGTCGCCAAGAGGCCAGTGGAGGGTCTCTTGTCTCTGGACTTGGAGGACAAGGTGCATAAGGGTTCCAAGAGATGTAGTCCAATTAAAATTAGTCAAATATATTATTAATCCAAAAAAATCATCCAATGTGAATCGATCCAGTATAAGTTGTCCATGATTATTTCGTCCAATGCGCACGTATTTCGAGAGATTCGTGTTCGGAGTATTGAAATTACATGGATCCTCATGGCGGAACTTTTAAAATTCTTGAAAGTTTCCAAATCTTCTGAATTTTCCGGAACTTTTACGGATTTTTATAAAAAAAATCTGAAAGGGATTCCGGAACTTTTGACGGTTATGGAGTGGTACTGACTTTTTGATGCTTAAAAATTGAATTTTGCGAGCAAATTTTTAATTCAATATGCATGTAAACTAGTTTCACTTGTAATCAGAAATATCTCAATTTTTTTTCAAAAAGTGCAACTATGCACCTTAGCTTGTTCTCCAAGCTCCGCAATTGTTGAACGAAACACAAAAACAAATCTACGATGAAAGCTCAAATTTTTACTTATCTCAGTTTTAGTGAGTTTTTTAAAAGTTCCGCTATAAAGTAATTATTTCGGAAAGATTACTATTATATATTTGCGATACTTTTGGAAAATATTCTTGTAAGAGTGCCAAGAAGGTCAGGAAAGCTCTAATACGTTCGTTCGTATTAGAGAAGAGCTCAGCTGTTTTCTTCGTAAGCGCATTTTTAAGATCACCGAATGAAGATAATGATAATTGTAGTAGTAGTAAAATAATTTTATTTTAAAGCGGTGCTTTAGCATCTAAGGCCATTGACACCTCTAAAGAGGGCAGTTGAGTACCGTTGAGATGAAAGAACTCGCTCACCAAAGTCTCAACTATCACTTTTGAGAAAACTACACCACCGCTAAAAAAAATTAACTAAATAGAAAACGATTATCACCCTCCAGCTTTGACATTAGAAGCACTACATAAAGATATGACAGATGAATCTATTCTAAATATGTTAGGCCCCTATGGGCCCCTCTCCGCCAATCTATTTCCTGTTGAGTGGTCAATTGTTTCTTATTTTGTTTTTTAGAGTTAATTTTTTTCCGCGATTCGACGGATTCTGGGGATGAGCTACATTTTCTCTTCTTGGGAACATCTGTAGTTTGCGAAATCTCACCAGTAGTATCCATAATTAAATGTGTTTCCTCTTCTTGAATATTTGAAATTCTGTCCGAAGATAAATCCTCGGTTGAATCTCTGGGGTTCTGAACAATGTGAGAAGCATTGTGTTGTAAATCTTTGTGGAGAACACCCGTGGAGGGGAGATCAGTATTATTGGAATGCGAGACGTTTGAGGAGGAAACCTCCGATTGAGGAGCATTAGATAGGGGTTCATCAACTGGATGAGTTTGAGGAGATTTTTGCTGAGGCGGGATGGTTTGAGAAGTACTACTATGAGAAGGATTTTTAGATGAAATCTCCAATTCCCGCCCGCCCGGCAAAGCAACGTTGCAAAAACGTTGCGGCAACATTGCCAATTATCTGGTAATGTTGCCTGGCAAAGTGTTGACAAGGTTGTGGCAAACAGAATTTTGTCTCACGGGCCGCAACGTATCCTGGCAACGTTTCTGCAATGTTTCACAGGAATGTTACCATGTTATTGCTGAGTAACATTTCGTATATATTATCCTGGCACTTTTTAAAAAGATTACACAGAAACGCTATCATAACGTTACTTGAATTATTGAGGCAGTTTTAACCAGGACCAACTTTACGATTACCCACCCTCTCACCCGGCAAGGCAACATAGCCAATTACATGGATGCGTTTCTGGGCAACATAATGGCAATGTGACAAATTGTGGCAAAAAATATTCCGTATGGATGCCACCTTTAAGTCGATGTAAATTTTGACATGTTTGGAGAAATGTGAAACCGTAACGAATTGGACCGAGTCAAGATAAGTAGGTAACCCAGCCTTTCCTTTTAAGCTGACTTTCTTAACCATTATATTCTGCACAAAAGATCCTAGTGGGACTTGTAATTGATACTCTAAGTCTGAAAATTCAAATTGAGCGGGGAAAAAAATTATTCAATCAAGTACATTAACACTTGAACAACAATCAGTGTTCCATAATCAAGACTAAACTTTTTTCAGGGCCAAGAATAACCATAACAAAAGAGGATACTGCTAGTAATACCACATTAGAATACAGAGGGGAGTAAACTTTTTAATAGGCTCCCGAATGAACTAAAGAGTATGATAAAAAACATTTTAAAATTTATTTTTAAAATATATATTTTATTATTTTTTCTTCTCAGACAAGAAAAAGCACAGTAATTTCCAAGAGATATGGTTCAAAAGTTCTTCTAAAAAGAGAAGAGCAAGACAGGAGAGGCCGCATACATTTGACAGCTAAACTAGGATTAATGGCCTCAAGATCAGCCTCCGAGGCTGTTTCTCTAACTTTTCTAATACTGATCAACTGTCATCAATAAATTTATTTGATTGAACCAAGGACAAAGATTTACTGTTATACAATGAAAAGATAGAATATACAATTTTTTACAATATAATGTTCAAACCTAACAAATTTTACACTCCATTTCTCTACTTCTAACAATTTTTGACTTGTTTTACACAACCTTAAAAAAGAAAGCTCAGAACAGAGACGCTTAATTGTTGATTGTAAAAAAGTCAGTTTCGAAAGTACAAAAAAAAGGAGGGCAATTTCTCAATGCGCCCATGTAGCATTTGGATTTCAAGATTAAGTAAGGGAAAAGTAAACGTAAAGTAAGCTTGAGGTAAGCTTAAAGTAATGGTGAATTCACATTTACTTCACGATTAAGTGATCCTTAATCAATTTTGAGTAAAACTGTCACTTTTTTTGAGAAGGATTTCAAGTAATCGTTACTTGAGGTTTATTAAATCAGTTTTACCAAATGATTACCTAACGATTTACTGTACATTAAGTAACACTTATATAATTCTGAGGTGTCCATTTCTGGACCAAGATTTAAGCTAATATTGATATCGCCACTTTCCGGCCAAAGTATCGCAAGCTCCATGCGAGGTTTAAAAATTTCTGCTGCCATTTAATTTCTTTATAGAGAAATCATTGAATCTGTTTGAACATTTCACTGATTTTTATCAGCAGCACTAAGAAAATTTAGTGAAATTTTTGGACAGCTTTGTCGAACAATTTCTCTGTAAAAAAATCAAATGGCGGCGGAAATTTGTGAACATCACGTGGATCTTGTGATACTTTGGCCGAAAGGTGACGATTTATTCATGCATTGATTATCAATTAAAGCTTACATCACTTCAGAGCCGAAAAGTTCCATTTGCTCCTTCCTTATCTTCTTTTTCTTAATATTACTGCAGCTTTAGTGTCGGAACAAGGCCTGTTAGCTGCAATACTTTATGGTGAAATTTAACAGGGTGATATACACCACCCGTTTCAGGCTTATTTCTCAGAACAAATTCGACCCTACATCCTTCAGACTCATGGAGCCAACAAACCGAAGGGAAAAAATGCAGAATTGATTCAATTACAAGGGCATTAGGTAATTTTATTTAATTTATTGACAGTTTCCTGTGGCAAAATAGCATGCAAAAGGAAAATATAATAGATATGACTCACCAAATTCAACTGATCCTTCATCAAAAATAAAACCTGAAGAAAAACACCAATGATGCTATTCATGATACTTTGAACACAGCACTTTCACTTTCATTTATTTTCTCCTTTAGAATAGAGCAATGCATATTAAAGTAAACTAATCGAACTTCACACCACTTCAAATTTCTTAAAAAATTTCCGGTCAGACATAAAATTTTTAGGAAAACAATAGCTGCTAAGTACTTATGTTTATTTTCTCTGAACACACTTCAACTTCTTTTGATGATGTTGCTTTGAGGCGATTCATGGTGAATTTCTCAAAACCAGATGATTTTTAGTCGCTGCTAATTTCCTATCGGATGACTGCTCAGATGAGAAACTGACAGCCATGTCATAGAATAGTAGCCGCTTTCTTAAACCAGAATGTAAGAAATCCAGAAAGAGGGAGCAAGCTGGAGTGCAGGAAGCCCTTCAAAAACCTGAAAAACAGACAAATAAACAGCATTATACAAGGCATGGTGACAGTTCGATGAGGTGACTTGTGACTGTTTAGCTCTTAGATTTTATTCATACTTGACGTGCAAATTTTATCTGTTGAAAAAAAAAATTACCTAGATCTCCACCTGTTTCATTTAAGTAGAATGAAATTTTAAAATAATCATAAAATTGCAATTCTTTCAAAAACTATAAATCGGTTTAACCAGATTAATTTGTTAATACCAGAGATTTTTTCCAGAACTCTCTTGAAACTGGGGATTTTAATTTTTGGCCCTGTCTAATGTAGAAAACAGGTACCTAAGTGAGGTACAGGTAAGAGGAACACTTACCAAAACCGAGTTGCCAACAATTTATTTTCAACCCGTTTCAGCAAATATTTAAACTGAGAAAAAGTAGGCATCTGAAATCGGACTTTAATTATCTTCTTTTCTCCCCCTCCAATCAAACACAACAATTGAAATTGTTACATCATTAACACATATCTCTTTGAAAATTGACCTTACAAGTTCCCAAAATTTAGGTTAGTGCAATGTAACATGATTTTTCTCATTTATTGTGCTCTTGGAAAAAACAAACATACTGTTTACCGCACTCTAGTTCATTTGTGTAATAATGCCCTAGCATTCAGTACAAGTGAAACGGAGCCTGAGAGACGATAAACTGGCTCGCTCTGAACGCTTGGATACTTTCATATCTTGGTCCTTACACGCAGTTTAATGAAATGCTATTCCGATGTGATGATTGATCATGCTTAATTTTTACGGCAATCTACATTGCCGTGGTGGTAGTAAATAATCAAGGGACAAAGAGACGGAGGCAGGGCTCACGAGAACATCATTTCTTTTTATTCCCTACTAGATATTCTAACATGCAGAAGCTCAGTTTTAAGAAAAGTACAATGGGTCAGTTGTATATGTCACAGAAACAAATTATGATACTTAGTTGCAGGTCCTTTTCGCTGACAGTGCTAAGTCACGCGAGTGATGTACTGAACATTCAAGAGGTATCATTTTACATTCACTGAGAGAATTAGAAGAGGTTATGTGTTGGATCAACCTAATGAAAACGTACCAGGTAGAGTGGGTAATAAAAATAATAGAGAACGGGACATATCATCACTCCTTGGACAAATGGACGCAACTTTGTATTGTACTGAGCCATAATGTTCATATAACTTGGTGCGTACTTGCAGGGTTTGTGTGAAAATGGAGGTATGACCTAATAATAAAGAAGCGATGAGATGTTTTAATAGCGAGATGAGCTTGGCCCAACTTAGTGAGTGGGACATTGGTCAAATCGGGACGAAGGTCTAAATTTGCGCACCTTTCTGCCGTGATGGCGAAGAGAGCCATAAGCGCATTTCTGCACGAGCCATGATTAGCACATGATTTTATTTGTCTTGAAGTTCATCCCAGCCTGCACTTATCGCTCTCTTCGCTATCACTGCAGTGTTGTCTCATGAGAGTAATAGAGACTTCCAACTTGTGAGACAAAAGTATTTCATGGTTTCCAGTGAGTCCTAAACGATACCTGCCCTCTCCATGTTTTCCAGAACGACTTTTCTTCTCATAATAATGACACTGTGACAGGTATGTCATTTCATGTGAGGAAGTGAGAACAGAAATTTCGTTGCTGGAGGGAGGAAGATCTCAGTTGATTTAGATCATTAATTTTGGGTAGGGTCTGTCGATCTACATTTCCTGAATGATATACTAACAAAATTTAAGTACTTACATTTATTTTGGAGGCTGCATCAGAAGAGAGACTGGAAAAATACACCAAAATCGTCTCTGGTTGTAACAACGAGGTAACGGCTAGCGCAACCAGGCATAACGGACGGCGGAATTGTAGGTTAGGTCGTGAGTTTTGGAGGGAAACTACGAAGCACGCTGTCGTACTTACCCGAAAAGTTCCGGAAGAAGCCGAATCGTATGATCGTATGGTTACGGCGCGGCTCGCGTTTTCAAATAAATTAAACCATATTTTAAAGATAAAACTTTCTTCAAGCACGAGCAGATCATCCGAAAACGCGAAAATCTAAAGAAAGGCACCCACACAGCTAATTTTTTCTTGACAAAGAAATTTTCTTTAATTAAAATTAATATTTTTTTTTCATCTAAAGAAACATCAATGAGACCAATTTTTTTCTAAATTTAAATAAAATACTTCATTTCAGTTACACTCAATTTCTTTGACTCAAAAATATGTTTCACTGAGGAAAAAAAATCTTCGTCGAGAATAGGATAAGATCGAAAGAGTTGATACGTCGCTGCCAAAGGTCGCTGCATTCTGCATTACAGGAAGATTGACTCGGACTGCCTGTATCGGTGCATAAACAGTGCCCCTTCAAGGGCCTTTGCGGCAACATTATATACAATCGGTCCTTCTTCCAATGTCCACGGCTAGAATAAGAAAATCTACGTTCCACAGCGAGTAACTTTTTATGGACGCGTGCTGTGACACTTGGAAACGTTTACGTAATAAAGTTCTTACACATTACTGAAATGTTAATTTATAATATTATTTGGAAACATATTTAATAAACATTGTTACAATTTTAAATTAAAATATGTTTTTTGAAAAATCATTGTATTATATTTCTGCAGTGTTTTTTATGAATATGATAATAACATTACTTATTCACGTTTTAATAATATTGCGTTAAATATTATCGTAACATTATCATGAAATATTACTCAAGTATGTTGCGTTGCAAGGTTTTTGTAATGTTTCTTGTAATTATTTTTAAAACATTGTCAGAAAATGTTATAAGACAACGTTGCAAATACATTATCAACACATTGCTGAAAAATATTACTGTGAAATGTTGCGTGAAACATTTCCATGAAACATTGCCAAAACGTCAACATTGCCGGCTTGCCGGGCGGGTAATGCCAATACAACTCATCGCTCAACACTACCCCATAAAAACCCGCTAAGTAGTATAACACTCTGGAGTGTAATACGCGTTTAAAGCCGATCAACTTAATGTTAACATATAACTCGTAGATGATTAGCATTACACTGCTGAGTGTAATACTAGTATAATGCTGACCAGCTTAATGCTAACATATCACTCGTTTATGGTTAGCATTACACTGCTGAGTGTAATACTAGTATAATGCTGACCAACATAATGCTAACATATAACACACATATGGCTAGGATATAATCATTTAGTGTATCACTAACGAACTTAATGCTCACATATAGCTGGTATAGTACTGACATATTGCTAACATTATGTTACTCAGTATTATGCTTGAAAACTTAATACTAGCACATTGCTATCAATATGCTAACATTACACTCATTTTTAGCAGGGCGTGCTCAAGTAATCCTTCGAGAATGATAATCAGCTGTAATTGGCTGCAGATAGGTGCAGATTCGTGAAATGCTTTGATTTTCGTCTGAAAAGGCCAGACGGCACGAGCAGGTCTCTCTCCATCAAACTCTCTTCGACCCTTATGTTTGTTGTGAGATTAACCCATGTAAATTTTAATGCTAGAAACTTATTTTTGAGACTCTGCGGAACGTTTTTCACTGGTAACAATTGACATTATCTCAATGCTGAAGGCTATCACGTATCTCTAAAGTTACCAGCTTTAAAAAGATGAATATTGAACTTCAAGCTAGCTTTTAAAAAATATGCCGCATTTTGCCAAAAAAGCAAGCATATTTCAATTCGATTGTATTGGTGCCTTGCCGATAAACCTGTGAGTATCCTGAATTGACAACCTGGGTTGACCCTAGGATATCGGGTTCAATTGGAGCTCGGTGACCCCTATTTTAGCTAATTGGCAGGGCTCCCCGACGGCGGGCATCAATCCCTCACCGCCACCGCGCCGCGCCGCACAGTGGTTCCAGTCAACGAAGGAGGTTGGACACGAATTTCTTAACCGAAATTGCAAATTTAAATGTTTATTATGTGAAATTTTAAAGTTTGAGGAGTGCTTTCTCAAGTATATTTTACGTGAAACCCAATGATACCGCTTCTAAAACATCCGCGTTTTGTGAAAAGGGAGTCATGAGCTTTTAACGTTTCCACATTTTGTCCGACTTCCACCATCGTTGACTTGTTCCATTGTGCGCACTTCTCGACCCGCCCATCTTGCTCTTCTGCCATTCAAAGGAAAAACGCCGTATGAACCTCCTGACGTTGCCAAATTTACTTTGACAAATAATGCGTTCCCGGGAATATTTGCATATGTTTTTCTTCCAATTTTTCAGAGAATTTTGTCGGCAGTGTGATCTAAAGTGGTCGAGATTATCAAGGTAAAATATGTGTAACTTTTCTCATAAGCAAATCTTTTTCGACTGGAAAGTTGGCAACGTTCGAATGTTCACGCGGCGTTCTTCCTCAGCACAGCAGTCTTGCATAGAGACTACTTGAGAACATTTGAGGGCCAGACTATATAGCGACTAGCTGAGGAAGAACGCCGTATGAACATTCGAGAGTTGCCAAATTTTCTCCGATAAAATGTTAACATATGAGGAAAGCTATGAATATTTTTCCTTGAAATATTCAGACAATTCAGATCAAATTACAAACAAAATTATTTGAGAAATGAACCGACAAATATTCAGAAGTTTTTCTACAAATTTGGGATTTGTTAAAGGAAATTTGGCAGCGCCGGGAGGTTCATACGGCGTTTTTCCTTAGCACGGCAGTATAGGACTGGGACACGATGAAGCATTAGCCCTCAATTTACTTGGCGGGGGTACGTCTGAGCGCTCGTGCGGTGTGGGCTGCATTTGTGTGAGATCGGTCCCATCTCGGATGAAAACCCAGTCACACATCCATCATCCATCATCCATCATCAGACTTCAGTCCATCTGTTACCCATCAATAACTCGCCATGTGCTCGGCTTATTCTTGTGTCTCTCACTATCTCTTTCTGTCTCTCTCCCTTTATCCCTCCATCTCTCTCTTTTTGTGTTGGTTATTGAAATAGATAGACAAGAGACAAAGGAAAAATGGAGCGATCCTATTGGTTGAAACACTGGAAAAAAAACTCTGGCCGTGGGAGCCGCAATTACGGGCTGTATAGACATACCGTCCGTTCTAGGCTCTAAGGCCAAAAATTCCGGCTGCTGGAGCCGTAGCTTCGGCCTCTGAACTCGGAGCAATCAAAACTACGTACGCCTCCAGCAGCCGGAATTCTCGGTCTTTGAGCCCGGAACGGACGGTATGTCTATATAGCCCGTAATTGCGGCTCCCACGGCCGGAGTTTTTTTTTTTTCAGTGAAGAGATGGTGTAACGGCTAAAGAAGGAAAATGACAGGCTAATTGTTGGGTCTTCTGTGTGTCACCCTGTACAGTTAACTGTTTTTCCTTCTTTTTTGTCTTTTTTTGGCACGTGGAGGAGGTTAAAGGGAATCAGACGGCTGACGGCCATACTAAAGTGTCACCACACTACACGATCAGTGACGATGGTTTGTGGCACTTTTTGCTGAGCTTTCGCATAAGAGGATACAACGAGTTCAAGAACCAGTCGATCAGACTCAAAGTCAGATGACGCCCGAGGCGCGATGGGTATAATGCGCCTTCGAGGATGTCACAACGCAACCTCCATAATCATCCTGACTCTCCGTCATCTTTACGTCGCACGGTGGGTCGAGTTGATGGGAAAGGTCGGACAAAATTTGGAAACTTTAAAAGCTCATAACTCCGTTTATACAAAACTTTGAGGTTCTAAAAGTGGTTCCATTGGTTTTTTCGTGAAATTTCCTACTAAGAACACACCTTGAACTTTAAAATGTGGGGAATTAAACATCGAAATTTGCAATTTTAGTCAAAAATTTCATGTCCGACCTCATGATGATGATTTCATGTCGATCCACCGTGCGTCGCAATCACGATGTTTATGCTGAGTGAGTCATGCTCGCTCCTCTCTCGTTCGGAACTCAAAATTTTAACAAATATTTCTTTAATAATCATCATTGTTGAAGGTAGATGGTGATTTCAGTGAATTCTGGATAAAGTAGATTACATCAAATATACGGTACATAAAAAAGTGATTCAGTGCATCTGTGCATCATCAATGTGTTAACGCACTTAATAAACTAATCACAGCTAATGGTCATTCTTCTCCTTTATTCATTATTTATTGCTGTTATCCGCACGATGTTTAATCAGTGCATCTAGCGCATCTAGCAGTTCTATCGATCGGTCTTCAAGTTGATATTACGCATAGTGGCCTATACTGCCGCGGCCGTATGAACCTTCAGGCGTTGCCAACTTTCCTTACATATTGCCTGGTAAACTTATGAATATTTTCCTTCCAATTTTTCAGATAATTTTGTTCACGATTTCACCTAAAGTTCCTGAAAATTTCAAGGAAAAATATTCATATCTTTCCTCAAAAATAATCCTTTTATTGAAGGAAATTTTGCAACTCTCGAATTTTCATACGACGTTTTTCCTTAGCACGGCAGAACTTGGAACTACATAAAACGGGAAACGGGGAATCGCGACGATTAATAAGACAACATAAGACATAAGAAAAACTGGAGTAAAACGCATACTGGACGGTTCAGCTGTTGCACGTGGTTTACACTCAGGAACTCTGCCGTGCTGAGGAACAACGCCGTATGAGCCTTCAGACGTTGCCATATTTCCTTCAAGAAAAGCCGAATTTACTGAGAAAATTGTCAATATTTTTCTTAAAAATGTCAGTTAATTTTGTTCACGATTTAATCGAAACTATCTGAAAATTCCAGGGAAAAATATGCAAAACTTTCCTCAAAAATACATGTTTTATTCGGAGAAATGTGACAACTCTCAAATGTTCATACGGCGTTTTTCCTTAGCACGGCAGAACTTGGAACTACA